GGGGGAGGTTATCAATTAACTTTAGCGGGTGGCATAATTTAACTCCTTAAATCTCTTTTGCTCACTTTGTCTTGCGCAAAACAACCATCACCACCAGGCATAGTATTGCGATTGTAACAAAATAAGAAAAGAAAGATTTTTAAGTATCTTTCATCTCTAACCATAATTAATATGTTTTGCTCTTTCGTCTACTCTAAATTCTGGAAACTCAAATTACATGTAGAATCTAGGCCAATTAGAGCTAACTTATAATCAATTTTCACTAGGGAAAGAATCACAGATACACACAGTTATTATTCATTCAAAAGACAAAAATGATTTCCTTGTGCTACTCACCGAAATAGACCTCTTTATTGCACTTTGGGCACTTAGGCATGGTTGGATGGTCAGCTGTAACTGTAAGGCGAACTCTCGGCAAAGGTTACGTAAATCAGATAGGTGGACACCCTCACTACTAACAAGGCTTGCCTTTCGGTTTTGATCATGCACAGCGAATTTGACCAACCAGTCGAAAGTTTCTCGTTTTATGTCGTCGCTTATTTTGCACACGGTTCAAAGAGACTATTAATATTAGCCTATACTTCCCATTTTGCGCACGGCTCCTTACAAGGCAGCATGAGAGGAAAATACACTCGTTTCTCATTACCATTTTCGGCACCATGAAAGGGTTAAAGAGGTTATAGCCTGCCTGGGAACTTCATCCAGAACAGTCGTAAGGTATAACTACAAGATATTGATGACGGCAATCTAAAACCGCCCATTTCTAAACAAAATAGTTCCGTACAAAGTTGAGCGACAAGCAGACAGGACAGGTGGTCGAAGAAAGGAAGACACAGTGAGTCAAGGGACGTAATGCAATATATTTTAAGCAGATACAAATTACACAGCCGAGTAGTCTATCCATTTTATTATTACAACGATACCTTTGGAAGGTCTGTTTATTTGTTTCTTTTATGCGAGGTTAAAAAGAAGCACATCGACACAATGAGGGTCATTGGGTAAAGGGAAAGAAGAAGTCAGGTAGACAGAAACGAGAGAGATAAAGACATTTTCATAGCAACACATTAATCTAAAAGCCTATAGATCTAGTCCCTTTCCAGGCCTGCTCATTGCCATGCTTTGAAAGACCTGTTTAAAATAGCCTACTTTTAAAAATAACATTATTCTTATTCATGCATTTAGGTGGGTGCGTGTTGGGGTATGTCCTAGAGCAGGGGACGACAACCCTGACAACAACAGCAACAACAACAACAACAACAACAACATCAACACCACCACCACCACCACCACCACCACCAACAACAACAACAGCAACAACAACAACAACAACAACAACAACAACAACAACAACAACAACAACAAACAAAACAAAATAAGACAAAACAGGGTGTTAGGCTGTATATATGTATCAAAAGTGGCTTGTTTGTACAGTAGGCCTACATGTAGCCTTTAGATTTATTTAAATTATGTACTGAGCTTTGAGCTTTTCGTTGTAATTATAATAGAGGCTTCAATAACAGTGACTATTTCTCTCGCTTACCCGCTCCCCTCAATTCTGGTTTCTTTTCTTCTTTCTAAATCATTATTCATATTTTGTTTATCAAGATACCATCCAAAGACATTATCAGATTTTACACCTTTTCCCTTCCAATGCCTGTACTATACAGCTTTAGTGATAGTTACATTATTCTCATGCCTGTACTATACAGCTCTAGTGATAGTTACAATATTCTCATGCCTGTACTATACAGCTCTAGTGATAGTTACATTATTCTCATGCCTGTACTATACAGCTCTAGTGATAGTTACAATATTCTCATGCCTGTACTATACAGCTCTAGTGATAGTTACAATATTCTCATGCCTGTACTATACAGCTCTAGTGATAGTTACAATATTCTCATGCTTGTACTATACAGCTCTAGTGATAGTTACAATATTCTCATGCCTGTACTATACAGCTCTAGTGATAGTTACAATATTCTCATGCCTGTACTATACAGCTTTAGTGATAGTTACATTATTCTCATGCCTGTACTATACAGCTCTAGTGATAGTTACATTATTCTCATGCCTGTTATGTTTGGAGTATGAAAACTATTTGGCGATTCTTTTTTTGGTTTTTGTTTTTTGCTTAACGTTTCCGACATTTATATGCCCTTATTATAGGTCCTGTATGTAACTTATTCCAAATTTCGCCTTTTTGAGCCGCTTACGTATACAATGCTTGAATGCGCGGCTGAAGCCTCGACTGTCAGTACCAACAGTCTCTTTGTCTCAGCCTTGACCCACAGGTCGTTTAACCTAGGTGGGAATGTAACCGCCCCGGCTTCATGCACCAAACCAATGAAATTTAATATAATTTCTACCCTACAAAAAATGTGCCTGATTGGATACAGCTATTATATAGTGGCGTCCAAAAGAAACTTGAAAATGTAATCACCTAATAATCGTGTTATAGGGTTACACTACCCGCTCATGCAGCATACCAATTTAAAGCTAAATAAATTCTACATCATCTGACACATTAGTATTTCCTCTATGTTAAGAGACGCCCGAGATGTGTTCACTCAAAGTTGACCTTTAACAATCAGGCTTGGCCAAATTGTGCGAAATCAGAGAAATGCAAAAGTGTGTTCGCGCGTATATTAAAGTGTATCAACAATGGTGGAATGGGCATGTGTTGAATATGAAATGAAAAGATAATATTATTGTCTCTGCAATGAATAACCTCTTCTGGTGATATTTTCAAGCAGACTGGAGAACAGAGCCGTTACAAATACCACACATGACCTGGACCTAACACAACATGTGCGCATATAAGTATCATTTATTTTTTTGTTTGTTTAGGAGCTTATATAAAATTATGGTTTCGTGTCGAGCACAAAACCTTTTTTTGCACCTGGACATAATCATCTGTCAATGAGGAACATAGGCCACAAAATTGCCATGGTTTAGGGTGGTCTGGGGTGGAATTAACAAAACGGCCATCATGAGAATCCCCGGATGGTTTGGTTTATAGGACTACAACGCGCAAGTGCTGGAACGTCATGTCTTACCTTTATTTTCGTCATGGTGTCATTCAAGTAGACATCTCCATGCAGAGCAAATAACTTTCTCACAGGGCCAATGCCACTAGACAGTTCATGGAAAACCAAATCATATCAACGTTGGAGGGTTCAGCAGTAAATAGCTCCGATATATATGAATCCTACAGGTATGTTAAGAGTGAAGTACATGTAGCATGAAACAGTACTTGAAGAAAAGCTACTCTCCCAATCCAAATTCAGATCCTTTGTTTGCAACTCTCTGTGGCATTTGGGATAAAGTGACGGATTATTATGTCCAAACTTTAACAGAGTCGATGCCCAAAGGGTTCATGCACCACAAAAAACTAATGGCTCTTAGGCAAAATAGCAATGAGCACATTAAAATGTAATGTTAAGTCCAAGTTTTGCATGGTAATTGTGATTGCTCTGATTTCCGTTTTATTTGAAACTATCATAACAAAATATCAAGATGGAATATTGTTCATTGCACAATAAGATTCGTCATTCATTGGACATGTAATATATTGTCCATTCTATCAATATCGATACTCATCATTACACGCAAGAAGACAATTTTACGTTTCTTTGATTTCACACAATTTTGCCAAGCCTAATTTTTACAGGTCAAATTTGAATGAAGTATTAATGTGTCAGATGATGCAGAATTTATTTAGCTTTAAATTGATGTACTGCAAGAATAGGTAATACGAGTCTTTAACACGGTGGTTTGGTGATTACATTTTCAAGTTTCTTTTGGACGCCTTATAGTCAAAGTTAGCATTCACCCACCCAGACCAATCAGAGCGCATCTCAAGTTACCATAAGGCTCTGAAATCTCGTTTGGGGTTCGTGGTGCGACGCCTTTTTCGGAGAATGTGCAGGTGGAGCTGAAGCTGCAAGTCCCACTCCGTTAGACGCCACTGACTCAATGTTCGTTTACAGTCTCTGTTGAAATGATCAGTAACCATCTTCTCCTGCCATTGCAGATACGATATTTTGATAGAGGAAGAGAATCAAACATCGGATTGTCTATCAGTTTTTGGAACTGATCTAATTTAAAGGATCATGATATGTACTCTCTTGGGTTGCTCTTTTGATACAAAAAGTCAACCCTTCTTTCAACCGTCTTTCCATTTCAAAATGTGTATTATTATCATAATAGTTCTATAATATATTCGAATTGTTAATATTGTTAATAATATGGGTGCGAGAGTGTGTTTGTGTACTCGCACAGGCGCGCGTGTGTGTATTTTTGTCTGCGGAAGTGGGATGGTGGAAAGGGGGGTAGTCCATGCAAAACATACATCGTCAACGGGAAAGGAAAAGGAAGGTTACGAATACGCTGTCGCTGGTACGTTTTTGAGGGATTTCTTTGTGTCATGATTGTGGGACAACCTAATAGTTTTGAACTTTAGTCAGATTACGTTGGGCGAAATCAACAGCAGATAGACTTTTGGTGGCCCTGTCTTTTTCGTATTTAGGCTCGAAAATTTACATTAGAATTTCAATTTGTTTTTTTCGTGTTTGTTAAAATAATTGTCGGTTTGTTTTTTGTTGCTTAGTCTATTGCATTACTATTTATTGTTGAAAAGTAGTCCGAAAGCGTGTTCGATAAAGATGCATGGAGAAATCTGTTATGTCTACGTTTTCTAGATTTGAAAGAATAATTTCATAATCAAGGGAAATTTGTGAACCAATAACAAAAGTTTTTTCGATGCTATCGACAAATAGGAAAAAGTCATTTCAAATATGGAGAGCACACTAAAAGATGGGATGCAATGATGTTTAATGTGTTATTGATATTATGATCACCGTTCGATAATTGAGAAGACCATTCTTTTCACAAAATGTCAAATACGGTATTTTGCAGTTTCAATTGTATGGGCCTATATGAGCTTATACAAAATATCAAATTGTCTTACAGTTTTATTACACAAGTAAACACAAAAACATGGGTTCCTCCCTGTCTCGTAGCCTTATACAGCCTTGAAAAGACATACAATTTACATCCTGTAATACTTTGATCCTTTGAAGTCGAAGTGATCCGACTAATTTCCCTTAACTCCGCTTTTGTAGAAAATATTCTTAGTTCTCCTATTCTTGGTCGAATACAGAGAATCACACTGCAATGACAATGGTCATATCATATTAATTAGAGCTGAGAAAGACCAAGGCAGACAAAGTGTGACTATTCCAAAGAAATCATGTAATATAGAATAATCTCCAAACTTCTCCCCCCCAACCGGAACCAAAGTTGGCCATGGGACTATGAGCGGACCCGAGACAATCCTAGTATACTTTCGAAAATAATAGGCTATACGCTAAATGATTTATTTAAAAACTTAATCTAACAGATAAAAAAGGTTTTAAAGAAAGTCGAAATCATGAAATTTTTTGTTTATTGTTGACGTTCCATGGCTTTTTTTTCTCAGTTATTCTATTGTGAATGATGTTTGGGCGCTACTCCGTGGCGACAGGGTGTGTTCACTTTGCTCTGTGCTTATACTTACGACCTTAGAGCATGCATCATTTAACATTGAGTGTGTATATCTTAAGATCATTATTGTTTATTTGGCTGCTTATTTTTCTATGCATGTGATTGTAAGACTACGTGTGTGTGCATGTGTGTGTGTGTGTGTGTGTGTGTGTGTGTGTGTGTGTGTGTGTGTGTGTGTGTGTGTGTGTGTGTGTGTGTGTGAAACACCAAACCATGTGCCAGAATCAGGACAATAAAGATGCATCTTGTCTTATCTTATCTTATCTTATCTTATCTTAATATGACATAATATACGTGTATCACAAGAACATGGCAGGTGTTTGATTCCGTAAAAAAAAAAAGCATTAATAATTAAACTTTTGTCTCTCTGAAGTGTATGGGTACCTTCCCTGTATTTTGAAGAATGGAGTTCAGCTCCCACGTTGGGATTCTTAGATGCAGTACATCTTATATTTTGTACTAGGAATGGATACTGCACTCAGCTGAGCTTAGGTTGGCCTTGGTAGATAGGGTGGAATAGAAGCCAGCCTCCTAAATTGTCTGTATTGAGTCAATGGAAGCGTATCTTTACACTTAATCTCTACAATACAAATTATGTATTATGCAACACCATGAAGTTCGAGCAGTGGTCAAGGACGAGCATCTGAAATTAATTATTCTGTTTTGCTCATATTCAGCCAAGTGTAGGATTGAATTGGTACTGCGTATAGGGTGTAAACAGTACAGTATGTCCATAACTAATGTATTAGTAGGCCAAACGTGCTGGGTGAACCTCGGGAAGACATGGGGTTGTCGGGAACTTGCTTTGCTGGGTGTGGGCTGGGGACAATAAACCTACGGTGCCGATTTTGGGGCCGATGAATAATCATCTTGATTGCCTTTCTCACCCTGCATTAGGGTATAGGCCACAAACACTTTTCACCTGTCTCTATCCTGAGCTAGCCTCTTGGTGCTATTCCATGTTTTCCCGCTTTTCTGCACATCAATTTCTGTGATTCTTCTCCAGGTTCCACGCGGTCTTCCCCTTGATCTCTTACCCTGTGGATTCCAATAAAAAACTTTCTTTGTTATGCAGCTGCCTGACTTCCTGAGAGTATGTTCAATCCATCGCCACCGCATTCTTCCTACCTCATCTCAGACTGGGATTTGTCTTGTTTTCCTTAACACTTCCTCGTTGGTGACCCTGTCTGTCCATTTGATCCTCAGTAACTTTCTTAGACACTTGTTCATGAAAACCTTAATCCTCTTTATGCAAGTCTGTGATGCGTTCCATGTCTCAGATCCAGACAACAGGGCTGACTTCATATTTGAATTGAAAATCCTTAGCTTTGTTCGAAGTGAGATACAGGTGATCCCCCCAAAAAAACTGTACAACCTTTTATTAATATCTCGCAAAAAATTTCTACTAGAATGTTGTAATCTGGAACATATGCAATTCATTCAAAGAGAATTTGTTAGACATAAAATTTACAAACAAGAAACTTGTTTTCGAAAACGGAAATGTCTTTTATAAAAACCACCTATAAATACAAAGTGCACCAATTTAAAAGATCTTGTAAGGGAAGCCATAAAATGATTGGTTTGTTATTTCCTTTCCTTTTATTTTTAAAATCTAATCTTTCCATCCCTGTAAACTGTAAACAATATTTTCTTTCTCCTACAGAGTTAAAAAAATATTTGTTCAATTCTGGAATTCCGTGAACCAATGGCTCATATCCGGTGGATTGCTCCAAAGCAATCATTATACGGGCATTGAATTGTGAAGGCTATGTCTGAGATCGCGTTATTTTTAGACTGCCTCTATGGGCTTTGTTCGGCCAAAGATACAATAAGTCTTAACATGTGAGGCAGCGTGGTGGAATCAGGCTCTCATCAAAATAATCAAAGTGAAGAAACTTGCATTTTTCCCCAGGTTTCTGAATTTTTATCAAATTTTTGTTTTTTGGCTCAACACTCATTTCTGTGTGGATTTTTCTGAGAAAAGTTTATTAAAGGAACAAAAAATGTAAATTTTCAGTTACCACGGACTCTTAAGCTAAGGAAATAACTAATCTTAATTAAGCGGCCATTTTCTCACTAATTTTACCTCTGAAAACAGGTGACCCCCACCTCCTTCATTTGCAAATATCTCGACTTGTATTCAAGATAAATTAATATTTTTTGTATCCAAACAAAGGCAAGTGAACAAGCTTTAAGATGATAACAATAACTCCACATGCCCAAAAATTGACGAGAGCCTGATTCCACCACGATGCCTCACATATGTCTTGGGTTCGTCCGGTGCACTTCGAGATTGTGCTGCCGTATTAATATTTATGAACTAAGAGTAAGAAACTCTGTCAAAACGTCATCGTTGTTTGGGTCGGCCCATAGAGCATTTTCCGAGATAGATCACACCACTGAACATGCTATTTTTAACTTGGGCAAAGCACAAGAACTTGATATGGTATAGTAGATGTTGTACAGTTGTAGATGTTGTAATGGACGAATAAGCTCTGGCGAAGAACTTTTACGGAAAACTGATTGGAGGGTGGAAGGTAAAGGTTCTTTTATTGCCTCTTTGTGGGTGTTGTGCGCATTAAATTTTTTTGGGCGACAGTGCACGACCGTGCTCTATGGACGAGCCGCTCCTGCTCATATATGTCCTCCTTTGGACTCGACACGTTTTAACGCGTCGTTCGTATAATGTCCAGTGGTGGCTACCAAACTCAAGGATCCACTCAACCACGAGAACTCCAAACCACACACACTGTACACCTCACAGTATAGAGCTGTTTTTAGAGACAGTAGGGGAGGGATGAAGTTGCCAAAATATACATCATTTGTGGAGTTGATATAACCTGAAACTGAAAGGTGAATGGGCTTTACCAAGTAACCAAATGTCTTAGAAGAAATGTTCACGCTTTTCCAGACGATCGAGGAATCATGAACACATTGCTATACTCTGATAGCTTCGCGAAGAGGAAAACCGTACAGTCGTAGATGAAGATCTGCCTTGACAAAGCGACCATTGAATGTAGGAAAGTCATTGCTGCAGACATCGTCTGCGGACGGACATCTCATGGGGCTCATCTACTTAATTCTGCACACTGTTGACGTTTAAAGGGGTGCGGGTGCGAACGGTGTGTGTTTGACCTGAAGTAGTCATTTTGTCGGGGACTTTTTAATTCTGATTCTCCACATGTCCTAAGTGGTGGACCATTTCCACCCTTGGCTTAAAAAAGACCTTAAAGGCACATATTGACATTATTTCCGTACCTTGTGCGCAACTTACGAAATGAGCTGGTGGTGAGGAAATGTTCAATACCAAAGGCTCTCTATGTTCTTTACTAATCTTAACCATGATCTCAGCAGGCAAAAGAAACTTGAGAAAAACTATGTGCAAACTTCTGTTAGCCTGTTAGACTACTGTAGCTTGCAATATGATGCAAACGTTGGGATTTTTAGTGGTACGCCTAATGTGAACTAGTGCGTCATGCTACAAAAAAGGGGACATTTTATCTGAAAATGGGTTGCTGTTTTTGAACCTGTTCCTCCCTCTCTGTCAATTATACTCCCAAGATAGCAGAAGGATGCAACGTCTTCTATTATAGTGCATTTTCTTCTATTGTGACCTGCTCCTTTCGTTTTGCATCTATGCTAGGACCTTTGACTTTCCGGGGTGGATCCTCAATCGAACAGACTCTGATAGGCTGTTTTATATTGAAATCTTTGCTTGCATCTGTTCCTGGTTGTGTGACAGAAGCGTCAAGTCGTTCGCAAAATCCAGATATTCCAACTGTGTCCGTCTATACCATTTCTGTGTTCCCTGGTGGTTTCCTTCATCAGCCAGTCGACTCATGCCAATATGCAGATGTAGAAAGTGACAGTCTTAAATAATAATTTTAAAAAAACCACACACAAAAACATGGGGACAGGACACGGGAAGGGATTTCGTTTTGCCTCAAGGCCTAGGCTTTCTCAGTACCGCCTTCTCAGCTAACTGCAAGAACAGATTGTATTGGTATAAACTATCTCCCGTGTATTTTGGGCCTGACCAAGAGTGGGGTGGAGGACGTGGGCACGTCAGGAACGTGCATGCTGCATCCAGCCGAGGTATGAACTAGATATGCTCACATATGCAGGCGGTTTGTCTTCTTTCGCTCGTGAGCAAAATTAACTGCTTAACGCTGTGAGACAATAGGGAAGCCAGTTAGAGGGCTACGTACCTATAATGGTCTCATAGGAGGAATCTCCTTGTGTTGAATGCCTGAGAAAGGTTTAAATAGATCAATGTTCTACAAATTATCTTGTATATTGTGAGTCGACAAATCATTGTTAACGTTAGGGGCTAGGTCTATTCCTCAACCATTGATGTCTTTTTTTTCTCCTCGCCTTTCTTCTGGCCTTTTTTCCCATTACTTTTTCGAAGTGGCTACTTAAGGCTAGACTGCCAGTCTAGCTGTACTTAGATCTAGGTTTGGCCCAATCGACTCAAGCCTGTTAAGTACACAGGTCTAATTAGATCTAGATCTAGTAATTATTCAAGTTCAAATACATGCAAGTCAGTAAGGCACCTTTTGGTTTTGTCTGAAATACAAATACTTTTGGTATTGCAAACTTAAAATTTCATTTACAATTCAGCCATCAATAGTAAGTACGGCTAGCCTGGCTGTCTACCCGTACTTAAGTACGGCTAGACAAAAAGTCTAGCCGTACTTAAGTACGGCTAGACTGCCAGTCTAGTCGTACTTATCTTAGGCCCTACTAACACTAACATTAGAAAACAGGAGGTTTAAAATACATACACTGTCATTAAGGCACCTGGTTTCGTCTCAAATACAAATGCTTTAGGTACTGCACACTAAAAATGTATATTTACAATTCAGTAGGCCTATTTTTTGTAAATGGTCAGTCTAGCCATCATATTAAGCATAAGTACGGCTAGACTGCGAGTTTATTTTCTTAATTTTTACTCATCACTAATAATACTACCCAAGACTCGGTAAGTCGGTCTTGGATACTACCTATCAGCAATCTAGACTATTGCAGCTTTGCTTGGGAAAACGTAAATATAGATATTGATTATAATATTATCATACAAGGCATCACCAAGAACCAAGTTACAAACAACATAATATATTATGTTGGCCGAGGTTGTGATTAAATTTTAGTAATTATTATTATAATATTATTATTTCTGGTTTCGTTGTCCTATCAACTATCAACCTGAGGAGTATTGTTTTTAATCGTAGGCTATTTACCAAGGGACAGCACTCTCGACTTTCAACTTTCAACCTGGAAAAAAACGAAACTACAATTTTGTTGTGGAGTTTAGCCTGGTCACATTGTTGATGATGTGTGTGATTGAATGGATGCCCTGACGAGGTGTTGCAATTCGCACGCAATGTGAATGAGTGGATAAGGGTGGTGCATATTGTCACAGTGACGATCTATAAGAACACCAGCCATGTTTGTTTTAGTTCAAATGAAAGATACCGTGAGGATTTCTCCTCATCTGTTTCATCTCGACAGCATGGATGCTATTCGTGAATCACTCAACGTAAAGTTTGCAAATAAAGTAAGTTATAGATCTATCTGTAGCCTAGTGCTGGTTCTCTTCTGAATGGCTGAGTCGGGCAATCGCGCAGCGCAGGTAGCCCACAGATCCGCCGTGAGAGAGGGCTCCTATCAGGCGTGCGGTGCCGCCCACAGAGCATCCTCCATTACTTTTAATCTCCTTGTTATGGCTATGCCCTCACACTCACACACAGACTTGACAGACACAGTAGATCTAAATCTAGATATCTATCTAGATCTAGAATTAGATCTACTGATGACTGATGGCAATTAAATGTAGTTTCGTTCGTTAAAGTCAAGAGAAGGGGGGATGTCAGCTAAAAAAAATCGAAGTGTATACAGACCCGGTAACCTGGAACAAAGTCACGAAGTATACAGACCCGGTAGGGGAACTCTTTTGTGATTTCGGGAAGTTTCAGCGCTCAGACCCGGTAGAAATCTAGTGTGTGTGTGTATGTGAGAGAGAGAGAGAAAAAGAGAGAGAGAGAGAGAGAGAATGAGAGAGAGAGAGAAAGAGAGGTGCTGTCAAAATGTAATGACATGCCCCAGTTGGCAGGAGGGAACGAGAGAAAGATAGGGTGTGAAATAGGTGGGGACAAAGGAAGACAGAAACAAACAAAGAAAAAGAGAAGGCGAT